AAAACCTGTTTATGCAAATCTGACAGTACAAGCGCTAGCCAATCAAACCACGTGCAAGCTGGGAGTGACATACCGCAGTTCATTTTCTATATTCCTGAAAATGGAGGAGAAATTAGTTATTGCGGTAGCAAATCACCCGGTTCTTTATGACCAGTCCCTATGAACTTACCGGGATACAAGCCGGAGGAACCAGGCATGGAGGGAGGTGGCAGAGACAGTGGGTGAAACTGGTAGGTTTACGCCTGTTTGGGGATTTTATATCCAGTTTACTTCGTTTTAACATTGCTTTTGCTTTCTATGTCGGGGCGGGAGATTCATGTGATTGGTTGTTGGTCGTGTTGCTCGCAAAAAATCCCCAAGTTTCAGATACGTCAAGCTCCAAGATTTTTTTAACGCGGCTGTGTGGATGTACTGTCAGTCATCTTCTGAAGATCTAGCTTCCATGTAACCCACTGCTTAGAAAACTTCTCAGGTATGTTCTCATCCCAACCATAGCTAGTGCTACACAGCTCTTGTAATAGCAGCTTGGCAGGCAGAGCAAAGGGTGTAAGGAACCCAAGAGGATCATAGATGGAGCTTACCATAGATAATATTCCTCTCCTTGTTTGTGGTTGTGGCTTGATGCTGACATTGAATGTAAAATGGTCCTCTTCCACACACCATTGCACTCCAAGTGCTCTCTCAGTTGGGAGTGGATCTCTGTCTAGGTTCAGCTCCTTCACTTCTTTAGCTCTGTCAGCTTCGGGAATTGAGGACAGCACCTCGACCACTAGCAGCGACTGTTGCTTATCCATTTAGAGAAGTGGAATCCTCCCCTCTGACATGCAGCAGTGAGCTCTTTGGTCAGCAGGATAGCTTCTTCCTCTGTAGCAACAGACTTTAGGCAGTCATCCACATATATGTTTTTCAGTATTGTGTCAATCACTTCAGGGCTGAAGTACTCCCTATTATCCATTGCTGTTCTTTTTAATGCGTAGCTAGCGCAGCTGGGTGATGACACAGCGCCAAAGAGATGCACAGTCCTGCGGTACTCAGAAGGGGGAAGGCTTGTGTCCCCACCAGGCCACCACAAGAATCTTAAAAAGTCATCATTCACCCCATCATTCCTATTGGCTCCTGGTGGAATCTGGTTAGTACTCCTAAAAGGCTGTTAGTGAGATCAGGACCCTGCAGCAGTTCTGAGTTTAAGGATGTGCCTTTAAATGATGCTCCACAGTCAAAGACCACTCTGAGTTTTCTTTTCTTGGGGTGGTAGACCCCATGATGAGGTATATACCAGACTTTACCCTCCTTTTGCTTCAGCTGCCCCTGTGGCACTTTTTCAGCATAACCTTTGTCAATGACATCACTGAGAAATCTGGCATATTCCTCATGAAATGATGCCTTCCTACGAAGCTTTCTTTGCAGGCTGGAGAGACAAAACTAGAGCCAAAGGGTGGGTGGAGGGGGTCTGGAGGACGGGTTTGGGCTGACAGCCCAGGGGCACAGCGGAGGACCCGGAAAGGGTCTCGGGCGGTGGGCCCGGGGGCACAGCGGAGGACCCGGAAGGGGTCTCGGGCGGACGGCCCGGGGGCAAGGCAGAGTTCGAGAAGGTGTTCTTGGGCGGACGGCCCGGGGGCAACGCAGAGTTCATGGTGGGAGTCTCGGGTGGACGGCATGAGGGCG